CAAATACAAAACACAAAAAACCACACTTCCGATGTATTCCTTTCTTCGTGGACATCAGGGACAAAGCTCATAACCACGTCACTTGCATCCCCTGAACACAAAGGCTCCATAAGGAGATTCAGCACCTACAGGGCACAAGTGAGAGCCCACGCTGACTCCTAACTTTTTGAGGGTGCCAGATCCCCAAACCCAAATGAGACAAAAACCTACAACTTGCGTAGGTAGAAAATTCCGCATCGGCTGCACGTGACACTCAACAGCTGGGACATTGAGATGCGCAGAAAAGACGTGACGCTGTAAAATGACTTGCGGGCTCTGTCGCTGAGGTGCACAGAACACATGAGTGAATTTTGCGCTTAGACTCAGCCCCGTCTCCAAGGTGCCTTCCTGCGTCCCTGTAATTCTTCTGGAACCCTGGTTCCCAGCATTTTGGGGAGATGATCCGCACACTTACTTTTTGAGAGTGGATTTCTTGCCTCAGAAGCTTTCTGCGGGCCTGGCTCTATGCAGAAGGAACAACACAGGCAAACTGAGGGCCTCCTGTCCGTCCCTTAGTGCTTCGTTTTTTGCATCTCTTCCAGCTTTCCCGGGGTCGTTTCTCTGGCTACGATGTTCATGCTGTTCTGAGTCTTCGGCTTTCCGTCCAGTGCTGCCCCTCTGCAGAGCTCAGCTCCATGCTGACACAGTATCTCATTTTGTTGTCGCCATCAGCGTCTGATTGTGTTGTGTGTATCCTGCAGGGTCCAGGGTCCAGAGAGTAGAGAAACGGAGGCCCCTCCTACACTTCCCCTGGGGAGGGAAACAATGGCTCGGTCTTGTGACTTCTATCGTCCTGGGTCCTGAGCTGCATGGCCTCCCACTTCGTTCACAGCACAGGCTTTTGCTGAGCGGCTATGGTGTGTCAGGTTAGTTGAGGCCGGCCCTGGCGGGGCCTCTAAACAGCTACCTTCTTGTGGAGTCACTCAATCAGCCACGGGGCAGGAAACAGCCAAAGAAGGAGTCCCTGGGGCTGTTCTGCAGTGGGTTGCAGGCAGAGAGCTATTTCTCTACATCTGGATGCACTCGCTTCCACACCTCCCTGCAATAGCTTAGACAGATCTGGTGTGCGTATCTCAAAGGCAGGGCGGGGCCGGGCAGATTGCGTACCAGAGACTGCAGGACTCAGGGACAGGAAGTTGTGAGACTCAAACCCCCAGGGCCAAAAACAAAACCATGCCAGTGTTACTTTGACAGTGGGACTGGCAGTACCATCGGTCTGGCAGTGTCACGGGAGTTCCCATTTTATTTGTTTTAAAGGAAGACAGGATGGGGGGGGAGGGGGGAGAGGCGGAACTGAACATGAGTTACTATTACTCAGCACTTCCTTTGACTTTAACATTGGCAAAGGACTCCTGCCCTCCATCGTGAAGTGCTTGAAAAAAAAAAAGGAATTTGAGATTCCAGCCAAGAACTTCAAGTACTCAGTAGATACAAGAACCTGCCGCTGAACTGGCAAGGCAGGCACTATTGCAAAGTTAATCCTATAAAATAAGCGTGATCGGAAGATGGAATCCACTACCATCATCTGTGAAGCTGCCCCTTGGTGGTCACTGAACAGAAGCAGCTGGCCAAGGGGCCTTTCTTCCCCCCTCCCACTCCCCACCCTGGCGTGCATCCACACTAGAGGAACACAGCAGACATTCTGTGGTGGCAGTCGGCAGGCAAAATGGCTTCTTGTTGGCGGAATCCACAGCCCGTCCACCACGCTCAAGATGAAAGCTCGGTGCCGTTGAGCGTGTTCTGTGTCCCATGAGGCCAGCGCTTCCCATAAGCACACAGTGTGTGGATGGCGAGATCCCAGGAGCACTGCATTGTGGGTACAGAATCAGACTCAGGCTCCTAGTTTGTATACCTGTGTTTATAGGAAATGCTCCCAAAGCGGAAACATGACGAGTGCAGACGGGAAACCACCCGTGGAAAATTATTCACCGTCACAAAATCATTAGAAATGGTGTAGAAAGCCAGGGGTTGTCAACGATGCGCGCCTATAATCCCAGTTACCGGAAGACTAAGATCTGAAGATGGTGGTACTAAGCCAACCCCAGCAGGAAATTCCATGAGATTCTTATCTCTAATAAACCACCAAAAAAGCCAGAAATGGAGGTATGTCTCAAGTGGTAGAGTGCCAGCCTTTAGTAAAAAAGTGAAGAGACAGCATCTTGAGTTCCAGCTCTAGTACCAGCACATACACATACACACACACACACACACACACACACACACACACACACACACACGCGCGTGCACACACACACACACACACACACACACTTACCTCAGGTTATGCACCTGAGATAACTATAAAAAATAATGAAGCTGTGTGGACACCTGGGGCCTGTTACCCACATATCTCATTCTTGATATTCTATATGCTAGCGTCACAGAAAAGGAGAAAAGAATGTTCAGAACATAAAGGTATCATCTACTTTGTTTTGGATCAACATCAATATTCTATCCTTCCTGATAGTCAACCAACACAGGACTACTAAAAACAACACACACACACACACACACACACACACACACACACACACACGACATCCATATGCATGCACACATGACATGCACACACAGACACACACAGAGACACACATAGACACACACACAGACACACATGACATCCATATGCATGCATACATGACATGCACACACAGACACACAGACACACACAGACACACACACACAGACACACACACACACACACACACACACACACACAAGAGCTAACATGTCAGGGGAGAACTACAAAGCTAAGATCTACAAAAGGCTAGACCCACACAAGGCCAGTGCAATATCTTGGCTGCTTTCCTGTGAGGCATTTGCGGATTTAAGAAAAGATTTCTCCCTGAGTCTGGGCTCACACCTGTAATCCCAGCCCTTGGGAAGTGGAGGTGGGAGGATTGTGAATTTGAGGGCAGTCTGGAATACAGAGTGAGTTCCTGGCCAGCCTGGGCCACATGGTGAGACCTTGACTATAAAAAGAAGAAGGAGGTCTGGGAGAGGTGAAGTTGAGAAGCAGAAAAGGAAAGAGAAGGAGAGCAGGAGGCTGGGGTGGGGGTGGGAGGGATGGGGGATATTAAGAACTTGGACTGTCATCAGTGAGTTGGGTATAACTTCAGACAAAATAGAATGCCACTGAAGAAGATAACAAAAAAAAATCATAAACACAAAATCTAAGTTGGAATTGTCCGACCCAATTCAAGAACAGTAAGCACCTAAAAAGAAGTCTCAGAATATACAAAGCAAACAACCAACCTCACCGTAGACACATACCATGGTCGGTCATGGCAGATTTGACACCATTCCATCAGTGCCAGAAAAAAATAAAGCAGAAGAAAAAAGCAGCAAATAAGAAATTTAAACCCCAATGATCCCTACATACACAGTCTTTCCAAGGCTGTGTGGCCGAGTTATAAAACTGATCATACTCGAGCTGGCAAGGTGGTTCAGTGGTAGAGCGCTTGCCTTGCATGCATGAGGCCCTGGGTTCGATTCCTTAGCACCACATAAGCAGAAAAAGATGGAAGTGGCGCTGTGGCTCAAGTGGTAGAGCGCTAGCCTTGAGCTGAAGAGCTGAGGGACAGCACCCAGGCCCAGAGTTCAGGCCCCACAACTGGCAAACAAAACTCTAGTCATAGGCATTGTATCTGCGCAGTGGGAAACCTGCACCCACAGGGACCCCGTGAGGCTCACCGCCCCCCCTGACAGTGAACGAGGGCCTAGTGGGGTGAAAGGGACTGTAACTTCACAAGCCGGAGTCCTGGAATGATCTACCCATTGTCCCAAGTGTCTCAGTGCTTTGGAACGGTCGCTGTGGTGGCCAGGATAAAAGGAGTGCCAGAATGGGGTGGGCAGAGTCCACACCGCCCTCTCAGTCTCCTCTCACACCCGGGGGAGTTACTGGATTACACTGAATTGGGTGTGCAGGGAGAGATAATACAGAACCAGGCCCTCAGCCAAAGGCCCAGGAGAGTCTGTGGCTGGGGCCAGAGACTCTTGTGCAACCAGGTAGATGATTTAGCTCATATTTTTATGGCCAACGCCAGCTTCCTTCCCTGCAGGCTTCCCGTCTCCTGCCATCCCTCAGGCATCCATGTGCCCGGGTCTCACACGCTGCTCCAAGACACCCGTGTGGAGGATCAGAGCCTGCCTCGCTCCTGCCCCGGCTCTCATGACAAAACTCGACTCTACTGGAGGCTCTCTGCCTTGCTCCTCAACTCCAGTGGGCTGGACACACTGCTGTGGTCTGCAGGGATTAGACAGGGGGAAGCTCCCAGTCTGGGGTGGGCTGGGTGGGCCTGCCCTGCAGGTTCTGCTTAGATGCACAGAACCTCTGTGGAAACAGCCTGACCTACTTGGAGGAAATACGCCACGGGCCTGACCTAATTCTCTGATGAAAGAATCTCAGCAACACCCGGAAGGTCCTCGCTGCTCCCTGCTCCCCGCCACCCGGCAACCTCCGGCACCAAGTAGAAAACGACTCTTTCTTTCTATGCTTTGGGACTTGAACTCGGGGCCTAGGTTCTCTTCCTTAGCTTTTTTTCCCTCACGGCTGGAGCTCTACCACTTAAGTGCCACCTCTGGCTTTTTGCCAGTTAACAGGAAATGAAGAGTCTCATGGCCTTTACTTTCCTTGGCTGGCCTTGAACCACAATCTTCAGACTCCTGAGTAGTTGGGATTACAGCTGTGAGCCACTGTTGGCTGGCCTACAAAGAGACTCTTAATCAGCCACACATCCTTGCAGCTACTACGAGCCAAAGGCCTCGTGTACCCGCCCCCCCGCCCCCCCCCCCCCCCGGCAGGTTCACACACAGTGGCAGAGACCAGCTGGCTATGCTGGAACCGTTCCTTGAGAACTCCCCAGATTGCTTAAGGGAGGCTCTGCAGTGCCTCCTTATTAATAAGAAACTCCTGCCGTTTTCACCCTTGCCCCATCTGGCAGGACACCAGCCATACTCACCCTCGTACATCTCCAGAATGTGGACCGTGTCGCCGATCTGCAGGGAGAGCTCCACATCCTGAGAAGCATTGTAGTTGTAGATCGCTGGAAACGAGAGAAAGAGAAAAAGGGGAGATGAAAATGCACACCAGCCCATGGCATATCCAAGTGAGGGACCGGTTTATTCCGGACACAACCCTCTGTTAGATGCTTTCACGTGAACCCCAAGTGGAGACTAGAACCCCATTTCCACTACCCAACACACATTGATTGGTTGCTTACTACGCACATCTTGTCTTAGAGGTTGGTGACAGAGTGGCAAAATGTCTAGTCGGAGTGGCTGTTCCCAGGGAACCTCACATTCTTGTGGGAGGGAAGAAAGATAGTAAAACTGTAATCACAGAAATACCTATTTAATTAAGATCAGGTAAGTGTTATGAAAGAAAAAACCAGGCTAGAAAGAGAAGCCATTGTGGGGATCTAAAATGCCACTAAACCCAGAATCTCGGGAAGGAGAAGGGTTGTGGTCTCTTGGCTTCTCTGACCCAGTATTTAAGGACCAAAGGCCATAAATGGGTGCCATGTCCCCTGTGTAGCAGAATGACAGCAAGCCCAAGGCAGCACTAGAACCTTGCCCTAGTCCTAGATACCCCAGGGAACAGGGCTGCCCCCGACTTTCAGATCAAGACAACCTTGGGCACCCCAGTTAGGGACTGGCCATGGTGGGAGGTTGTAGAGAGCAGTAGACTAACTCACAACTGGAGAAGAAGACAAGGTAAGAGCACTGCACACATTATTTTACCCCAAATTGTGACTAATAAGCACATGAATATATTCTCAACATTGTTAGTCATGAGGAAATGCAAATTCAAACCACAACCAGATACCGCTTCACACCAACCAGGATGACTATAATAAAAACACTTAAGAGAGAAGGCACAGCAAAAATGTGGGGTAACTGGAACACTTGTACATGGCCAGGAGGGATGAAAAAAAGGCAGGGGGGGCGGAATTAAAGTGAATGCTAGTAAATGGTACATCAAAAAAGTTGTAAGACCCCTTCTGAATATCAATTGGGCAGTTTCTTTGCCTGCCTGCCTGCCTGCCTGCCTGCCTTCCTTCTTCCTTCCTTCCTTCCTTCCTTCCTTCTTTCCTGTGCCCATACTGGGACTTGAACTCAGGGCCTGGGTTTTTCCACTTCAAGGCTAATGCGCTACTTAAGCCACAGCTCCACTTCTAGCTTTTCACCAGTTAAGTGGAGATAAGAGTCTCACGAACTTTCTTTGCCTAGGCTGCTTTGAACCTCAATCCTCAGATCTCAGCCTCCTCAACAGCCAGGATTACAGACATGAGCCAACAGTGCCCAACTGGGTGACTTCTTAAACATGAACCTATCATTGGGCCCAGTAAATCTTCTCCTGAGACTCTACAAAGAGAAATGAAACCGTATTTACCTGAAAAACTTTATCTGGAAGTTTCTAGCAGCTCATGACGGGGAAGAGGGGAGGGCACAGAATGGCTCCCCAAACCAAAAGACATCCATAGCTCATCCCCTGAACTGGTGTGTTACCTTAAATGGTCAAAGAGGAACAGCCCTCCCTTAGGGCAAGGCCTAAAGTGCAACCACTGGAGAGAGTGAGGAGCAGCGTTTGGAGACACACAGAAGCAGTAACTTGGAGATGGAAGCAGATACTGGAGAGATGACCTAGGGTCAAGGACTGCCAGAAGCTACCAGAAGCTGGAAGAAGCCTGGGACAGAGGAGCTCTAGGAGCACAGACCCACCCACACTCTCCTTTCAAAACTCTGGACTCCAGATTGTGAGATCATGAATTCCTGCTGCTTCAGTAAGTTGGTGGTGACTTGTAACAACATTCACAGGAAAGCAGCACACCAGCCCTGCCGACAACAGTCAGCAAGTACAAACAACACATCGGTCCTGACAGAAGGGACAAAAGAGCATTCAGTCATCCCTGGCTATCTTCATTATGTAACCCCTCAGCCACAGCACAGCCGAGGCTGCTCAGAGCCCTTGCACAAAATGGAGTCACATCCATACATAACCCAAAAGCATCCCCTCCTCTGTCTTGTGTATGAATTTATATGTTTATGCTAGAATAGGGGCTTCAAATCAGGGCCTTGTGGTCTGGCATGATTGATGCTCTGTCACTTGAACCATGGCTCCAGTCCAGCAGTTTGCTAGTTAACTGGAGGTAAGAGTCTTACAGACTTTTCTGCCCAAGGTTGGCTTCAAACTGCCATCCTCTAGATTTCAACCTCCTGAGAGGCTAGGATTACAAGTGTGAGCCACCAGCATCCAGGCCTCTCCTACGTTCTAAACCAGCTCTAGATTACTTACAGTATCTAGTACAATGTAAATACTACGTATGTTGTCATAATCCTGCATTGCTGAGGAAATAATGATAAGGAAAAAAATATCTACACATGTTCACTACAGGTACAACTGGTTTTCTAATATTTTGTCGTGTTTTGTTTGTTTTGAGAGATCTCACTACGTTAACCCAGGCCAGCCTCAGGATCACAGGCTGTCTGCCTTAGACCCCTGTGTGTCAGGATTACAGGCATGTACCACCATGCCCCGCTTCCAAAAACCTTTTATACCTCTCTTGAAGTTGTGGTTGCAGAAGCCATCAGCCCAGACAGTGGGCTATAAACAATACAATGGAATAGTACTGAGCAGTAAAAGGGAGAATAGACAGTTGCTACAACATGGATGCTAAGGGAAAGCGACCAGACACAAAGACCACATGCTTTCTGATCCCCTTTAGAGGTGAATCTGTCAGACAGTATCATCAACTGCTCATAGCTGGGGCTGAGACTCCATGGTGAGCAACTTACCCACTCCGGAGCTTTTATGGGGGGCAGAAATGTCCCCCAAATGTACCGTGGTGACAAGTCACACAGCTCCCCAAATGAACACCTCTGAACGGAATAGTGAAATGCACATGGATGTTGTGGTGTGAATCAATGAGAAAGGGATTTTTGTTGGTAGTGGCGGCGACTGTGGGGCTTGAAGTCAGGGCCCAAGTGCTGTCCCTGAGCCTCTTTGTGCTCAAGGCTAGTGCTCTACCAGTTGAGCCACAACATCACTTCTGGTTTTTGAGTGCTTAATTGGAGATGAGAGCCTCATGGAGACTTTTCTGCCCAGGCTGGCTTCAAACTGCGATCCTCAGATCTCAGCCTCCTGAGTAGCTAGGATTACAAGTGTGAGCCACCAGCACCCGGTTTTTAAAGGAGACTTGACTCTTGCCTTCTCTCTACTGCTGAACGATCTATATTCTTCTGAGATGCAAAAGCCACCTTGGAGCTTCATCCTTAGACATTCACTGACTGTGCAAAGATGCGTCCGAGCCTGTGCCTGTGACACCGCCAGCCACTTCTTCAAGGAAGTCGCTCAAATACCATTCTGCAGTCTTGGCTGCCCCCCCCCTCCATTCACTGCCTTCCCTGGAGTGGCTCCGTCCATGCCCCTCACAGATGGAAACGAGAAGCAGAGAGGTCACTGTCACAAGGCCTGATAGTGACCAGCTTCATCTCTTCCTGGCTCTTAGTCACTAGGAAAGAAGCAGAGGCTCTTAAAGGCAAAACCTTGCACTAGTAGAGGCACAAACACCTCCAAAAGCTGTAGGAAAACACACAAGTGCATGCGTGCGCACACCTACACACCTGTGTGCCACACCAAGGGTTTCCCCCAAGTCTTCATTCTCTAAGCCTGATCATCAGTGTTCCAAAATCCACACCCCCCGCTCTGCTTTTAGTCACCCACCTTTGCCTGTAACATTGACCAAATTCACCCTGTCAGGATTCTGATGCTCTCCCCTAAATCCTTTGCTACCTAGCAATGCCTAACGGATTCGTGTGTGTGTGTGTGTGTGTGTGTGTGTGTGTGTGTGTGTGTGTGTGTGTGTGTGTGTGTGTGTGTGTGTGTGTGTGTAGTGGATGTGCGATTTGGTTTTATATATGTATATACATGTATGTATATATACATGTATACACACATATATAACATAAATTGTTATATGTAATACACATATAATATATATATATATATATATATATATGTAACATATATTGTTACATGTGTAACAATCCAAATCTCACATCCACAATTCATGTCAGCTGAGGGCTCCCTGGGACTGTGCCCGGGCTTTCCTCTCTGAATTCCACAGCAATGATCTCCAGGCACAGTTTGCCTCTGAACTATGGAAGAATCTGCTGTACTTGGCTGTCACCAATGAGAACAGAAGAAAGCCCTGGTGGCTGGGGCCTGCTTACATGGTACTTGTCTGCGCATGACAGTGTCCAGGCTCAACCCAAAGACGCTCAACCTCCAATGATAGCATTTTATTTATTTTTTGTGCCGGTACTGGGGCTTGAACTCAGGGCTTGAGGGGGGGGTCCCTTGGCTTTTTTGCTCAAGACTAGCACTCTATCATTTGAGCCATAGCTTCACTTCTGGCTTTTGTTGTTGTTGTTGGTGGTGGTGGTGGTTTATTGGAGATAAGAGTTTCACAGACTTTCCTGCCTGAACTGGCTTTGAACCACTTTCCACAGATCTCAGCCTCCTGAGTAGCTAGGATTACAGGCGTGACACACTGGTGACTAGCCCAGTGATAACTTTTAAACCTCATGTTTGTTTCTTGTCTCAAATCCACCAAGCAGTTCTGTCTTCCTCAAACACAAACACACTTCTGCTTTCCTACCATGAGGCATGTTTTTACCACTCAGAAAAGGGACATTGGAATCACCGCACCTGTCGGCGCCCATACCTCTAATCCTAACTACTCGAGAGGCTGAGGTCTGAGGATCGTGGTTTGAAGCCAGCCTGGGCAGGAAAGTCTGTGAAACTCTCATCCCCAATTAACAACCAAAAAGCCTAAGTGGAGCTGTGTGGCTCAAGTGGTAGAGCATTAGCCTTGAGCATAAAAGCTCAGAGAGAGCAGCTAGGCCATGAGTTCAAGCACCAGGACTGGCACAAAACAAAACAGAAATCACCTCTGGAGAACCACCCAGGGAGCTCTCCCTCTCAACAGTGGCTTCCTCAAGAGGGTAGTTCACTGCTCAGGAAGTCTGCAGCCTGCCTCAT